AATAAAACAGTACCTTGTATTACAATAATATAATATTATATTACATGTATCTTAGTTCTTTCACAATAAAACAGTACCTTGTATTACAATAATATAATATGATATTACATGTATCATAGTTCTTTCACAATAAAACAGTAACTTGTATTACAATAATATAATATTATATTACATGTATCATAGTTCTTTCACAATATAAAGTAGCGTTTTGTGTTTCTCTGCTGTCCCCGTGTTTTTGAGAAGCGACACACGTTAACATTTTCCAGTTCAAGCGAAGTAACTTAAAGCCGTGTCATATTACCTAGCACCTATTTCTTCAACAACTTAGTATGGCGACCATAGTAGTAGATATGACGAAATCACGGGCTTTGACATCCGGAAGTACATTGCCCCCGCCCCTGTCCTTCCTTCCATCCGTCTGTCGGCACGACTGTCAACATTTCATTAGAGACTGCTGTTTTCGACTGATGTTGATATCATATATATAGTATAAGATAAGTCTTTTTGAGATCTAAAGTATATGCGCTACATTATGTAATTTGTTTGGTAACGTCGAACAAATGGTGGTTGTGGGTTTTAATCTTACTGGGCGTGTGAAGCTCTGGTGACCTTGAATAAAGCACATTTCTTGGCTCTTCAAAACGGGAATTGGGTACAGAAAATCCGAAAAGGATCAATTCTAAGAGGTTTAGCCAAGGAACAGTTAGATTCTAAGCGGATCTAAGATATTTCCTTTTAGAAATTGTTGTTTGCTGTCTTTCGTTCTTAAGTAGTACTGTTTTTGTATTGACGACCTATAATTTCAAAGAAGTTTATAAGTAGATTTAATCAATGAATTGTATTTATATACATTTTTCAAGAATTTTAGTCTATATCCTTCGATACTTTTTGTCTTGAGAGGGATCATTGGAAGTTGTCTTAAAGAAGGAAATAACATTGACGTGTTTATATAAACTGGAAAAGTGACAGGAAAATGAAATGATATCACAGAGAGTTCCAGAGAACAGGATTTACAGGCTATGTTAGTGACTAGTAGAGTTGTTAGGCAGGTCATTGTACCCTTAAATCAAATGGAATCGGTCTTTAAAATGCCGTGAGTGATCAGCTACATTGTTGTTTTTAGACGTGAATGAGTACAATACACAATAGGTTGACGGTATGGAGACAACAAATTTGAATTTACTTCACATAAACTGAGGTGACTGATCGGCGCAAGATTTATAGAAAGTACGCAGAGTACATTACTAATGTCAATTCAAATTCCTCACCGGAGAATCCAAATGTTTGTGATATTGAATTGGTTTAACAGCAGGGAATCGCTATCTGAGAGTCTATAAGCTACCCGTAATTTAGTTGATTTGGTATTAAGGTTTGTTAGTTCTGAATCCAGTTCAGAGTCCACAAGCTAGTGTTTAATAAGATGAAGTCATGAGCCTGGTGGGGATAGTAGAAATTATGATGTAACCTGGTGGGGATATTAGAAATTAAGATGTAACCTGGTGGGGATATTAGAAATTATGATGTAACCTGGTGGGGATATTAGAAATTAAGATGTAACCTGGTGGGGATATTAGAAATTAAGATGTAACCTGGCGGGGATATTAGAAATTAAGATGTAACCTGGTGGGGATATTAGAAATTATGATGTAACCTGGTGGGGATAGTAGAAATTATGATGTAACCTGGTGGTGATATTAGAAATTAAGATGTAACCTGGTGGGGATATTAGAAATTAAGATGTAACCTGGCGGGGATATTAGAAATTAAGATGTAACCTGGTGGGGATATTAGAAATTAAGATGTAACCTGGTGGGGATATTAGAAATTAAGATGTAACCTGGTGGGGATATTAGAAATTAAGATGTAACCTGGTGGGGATATTAGAAATTAAGATGTAACCTGGTGGGGATATTAGAAATTAAGATGTAGCCTGGTGGGGATATTAGAAATTAAGATGTAACCTGGTGGGGATATTAGAAATTAAAATGTAACCTGGTGGGGATATTAGAAATTAAGATGTAACCTGGTGGGGATATTAGAAATTAAGATGTAATCTGGTGGGGATATTAGAAATTAAGATGTAACCTGATGGGGATATTAGAAATTAAGATGTAACCTGGTGGGGATATTAGAAATTAAGATGTAACCTGGTGGGGATATTAGAAATTAAGATGTAACCTGGTGGGGATATCAGAAATTAAGATGTAACCTGATGGGGATATTAGAAATTAAGATGTAACCTGACGGGGATATTAGAAATTAAGATGTAACCTGGTGGGGATATTAGAAATTAAGATGTAACCTGGTGGGGATATTAGAAATTAAGATGTAACCTGGTGGGGATATCAGAAATTAAGATGTAACCTGGCGGGGATATTAGAAATTAAGATGTAACCTGGCGGGGATATTAGAAATTAAGATGTAACCTGGTGGGGATTTAATTATTAATGGTGTTTAAATTAGTAATATTAACTCATTAACTTATTAAAATGTATTAATCATATCTTTATATAGTCTGAGCAGTAATTTCACGACTCCGGATGCGAGAGCTCTTTTTACAAGATGAGGCAACATTATGCTCAAGATGTTTTGACGAGCTTCATATAGCAGACTTCTGTATTCACTGTGCCTTGTTTCTTTAGAGTAATTATGTTGACTTATTATAAATATTATTATAGTGGAAAATTCGTGCTGAAGCTGTTGCTGTGATGTGATTAATATGGCATGGTGTCAAAATAAAGAATTGTTCGAGATGTTCTTGCTACCGGTGACTATGTTCAATTACTCTCTGTCATGCTTTAATACACGTTGTTTCACTGGAGAGTAAACATGTCTTTTCTTTGACATCACCAAATGTAGAATAGCTGCTAATACATAAAGAAGAGTAGCTGTATAAAGAAGTATTAAATATTCAAGAAGTATCTATCCATAATAATCTGTTTACTTGAACCATAAGATTATAAAAATCTTCTTGCTTGTTGCTTGACAAAATCGGGAGCCATAATTGTATAGTAGTGGACACCTCAAACGCGAAGTACCATCAGTTGTTTGATACGAAATATTGAGTCTTAATGAAAGTACCTTCTAGGTGACAGAGTAATAGATATTGATTTTGTGAAAATAAGATGTAAGCATGATAGCTAATTAAAAAAATATACACATCGGAGAGTCGAAACCGCTACAACTAATTGGATTATTAAACAGCTGGATTTGATTCATCTCAAGTAGCAATATAGTAGATTATTAGATAAACAGCAAAAGATGAAAAAGGACACCTTTATCTTATTTCATTTGGACGGTGGGTGTGTCGGGATCGCATATAAAAGAAAACAGTATTAGTAGACTATTGTTTGGACAGTTGTTGATTTTACTGAACAGAAAACTTATATTTTTGTTTCCCGATTGTCGCGGATGGATATGAAAATTAAACGAACGAATAAGAGATCCATATTTTAGTGTATAGATAAAGTGCAACTGGCTGTTTTTGTTGTGCCTGATATTTGGACCATCGTGTATGTAGATCATCATATACACAGTTGAATCAGTAATATTATTGCTCAGGTAAGTATTCTGAATATTTCTGATAATTCTGCAGAAGAACGAGTGGTACGTGATAGATCGACAAAGTAATCTGTGAACATTGAGGTAGACATTAAGTGAACCTAATAACCGATCCGGGTCATTCAAAATGCGGGAAATCCACTTTCTGTGTTGCTTATCAACCACCAAGATATCGTAACATTAAACATTACCATCCGTCTATCACGATAGCAACATAGACCGAGATGGAACAGACACTACCTATATCAATAATTTATTTCCTTTTTCAGATGTTGGTTGAAAAAACTGAAATGTATCAAAATTGAACTGAGTTTTACGTCCTATATTTCGTCACCTGATTGAAGTCGATCTTGAAGTATAACATGGTGAATGAGATTTATCTTAGTATCTATACTACATTGGATTATGGGGATAATTCCAATGTACCTCACGTTCTTATGATGTTTGTATTTCCAACATTAGCGTGTTTATCATTACTCGGTAACACGTTGTTTATTGTATCAATCGCCTGTACAGAATTGAAAAAGAAGACCACTGGAATGCTGTTAATGTCATCGAATATATCTAGCATGATTCAAACCGTGGCTTCCAGTTGTATCGTGTATTATCCTTGGTTATTCGAGCAGCAATCATTGGGTGAACACTTCCCCTGTAACATTCTGATAGTAACGTACCACGCCCTGGCAGCTTGGTCCGTCTATCTCTTAATGTTTGCATGCATAGACCGTTATATCTCCATCTGTCATTCCTTGTCCAGTTTCGTCCTCAATTCGCAGTCTGCACTAAAAACTTGCATTAAAGTTGTTGTGGCTACATTTATATTTTCCTGTGTATTGGGAAGTCCATTGGTATGGTACTCAGCGTTGACAGTCATTGAAGAGGTTCCAGGTGTTGGGAATATTACGTTTTGTTATTACACCGAGGAAAACTGGTACATGGAGATACATGAATATCTTGAGATGTCGTTATACTCGATTATTCCTTTTATTGTCATTATGTTCTGCAACGCAGCAATCATACGGAAAATATACTTTCATAGAGCGATGCTGGAATCATTTCAGAATCCACAGAACGTCGGATTGGATCTGACATGTAAACGACTGCCTCATATAAACCGTGCGGTACGACTTGCGTCCATTTTACTACCAATATCCATTCTTCATTTAGTTTTCTCTGGTGTTGTGGTGATTTCAATCATCTTAGAAGACGCTATTGCCACGACTGCCTTACAGAAGCTGACACTCCTAACCGTGAGTTACAATGCTGCTCAGCTTCAAGCAGGTTATTACTTTTACGCTAATATAACGATGTGTAGAGTGTATCGCAATCTATTTAAGAAGTTGTTTTGTCTGTGTAGAACTCCAGTTGAAACTAGTCTCAAAATATTCAGTAATTCCAGCCAACCTATGCAGTGCAGGACAAACTTCTTGGAATTACAACCTTCTGATGTGATAGACAAGCATTGATGATATACATTAAATTTAGTGACTTAATCTTGGCATGTTGGTAGGTTTGCATGTGGATTGCCTAAATAAGGTTCCGACACATGAGAGAATTTATCGTCGGAGTGTAATAATTTATTCTTTTACTCTAAGCTTATCCTCATAACGAATTCTTAGACCAGGATTTTTATTAACGTTTAGAATTCCGAAATAGTTAACCTGTCCTCTAGGCTAATTTTACATAACGATCATTGAAAAATAGGGTAGGCCAATCGAGTACCAAGTAATGAAATCATCAATAATCAAAAATAGTTTTACAATTATTTATGTATACTTGAATATGGGGACAAATACAGGTAAAGGAATAAAAATAACTTGAAGAATAACAAGAAGAACAAAACATGAATAGAGTTTCTTTAAAGATTTCGGTATTCAAGCGTATATTACATAACCGTTGCGTATCATTGTAGTCTGTAATTTCAGTTTGTATTTTATTGTTATCTCCCTTCCTAGGCCTTCCGAATGAGTTGAAATGATTGTTTGCCGTAATGTAAAGTCTTTCTGTATGAACTCATCTGACTCAATATAAAATGTTGTATGGATGGCTTTAATCTTAATGTGTATAAAAGGGCTCAAGAACTTAACAAAAGACGAATTAAGTGTTTTAGTCATCTGACTGATCAATCACTCAAATTATAATTTTGTGTTATTAGCACACTCGATTTAATTTCAGATCAAGGTCTCAGATCAACTAGCAGGCAGACAGTAAAAAACTTGATCTCTGACACCAAGACATCGGCGAAGATATAGTCTAGTGTCCAGTGGCGGAATTTGGACTTGTTGGGCCGTAAACAAACGAACGGCAGAGGGCCTAATTTCTCATTTTAGGGAGGGGGCATGGTGTGATTACAATTTTATTAATCTAGGAAATATAAATATCGACTAGTAAACAAGAAAAAATGAATCACACAATCAGGTGTAAACGGTAGGTTGATAGGTACAAAGTCGATACAACTATAGCTACGTTTCGGGACTAATCTCTTTATTAAGCGAAACAAAAATAGTTGAGAAAGGTTCTCTACCTACGAAGAACAGCACTAATCTGACAAAAAATGACACATTCATCTTGGTTAGATGAACAAATAAATATCTTTTCAACTAAAAAATTGTATAAGTCAGAGATCCCTGCAGGTGCTAAGGTTGCAAGACCTTTATAATACTGTAAATAAGGAAGTTTTGTATATTTTATTTTATTTTTCTCATCGGCTGGGGGGAGGAGGGGGGGGGGCATATTTTCGATGAGCCAGCGGAAATTTATTATCTGTTTGATAATTTTTACTGTTTGTAATTTGTCATGGGCCGAATTTTCCATGGGCCGAAAGGCAGCTGCCTAGTTTGCCTATAGGTTAATCCGCCTCTGCTAGGGTCTATATTCGGTGTAACGACGACGCTTTCATGCTCTTCTCTCTAGGGGGACCCTCTCTGCCCTCTTTGGATACGCCTCTGGTTCCAAGTCTCTTTATCATGGGAAAATAGGACTTGGTGGTCGAGTCTCATCTCAGCAGCATTTCAGTCTGTATTGTTGCATTTGTTATTTTGTTTTAGTCGATTCTATATTTTTGTACATTCAGATTCAAAGACGCAGACCGCTAATTATGTTGATCTTGTGAATGTAATAGTTGTGCTGTTGTTAATAATAATAACATAACAAAACATATTATCTCCATTTATTTACCTGTTGATTAGACACGGGTCGATCGGGTAACAAGAAAACGGTTTGTTTTATTACACACTGTGTTAGTCACTCCTGTTAGGAGTTCATTCATTTTATCAATTTCATATCAGATGTTTTACATTTTAATTGAAATAAAGGAAAATAAGCACGAAATTCTGACACAGTTACCTCCCTTGAACTAGGAAACGTGAAGACAAATAACAATATCATTATTTAGTATTTTCTTTCTTAAGAATCATGAGAATAAAGAAGGATTTGCGAACTGTTCAGATTACGTAAAACTATTGTAGTGAAAAAAAAACTGAGATACATGTAATATAATATTGAATTATTTTAGTACTGTTTAACGACCATAGGAATACCCACATCGATACATCATACCCATACCAGGCATACCGACTCCAGGCATTCCACCACTTCTATTACACATACCAGTACAACATCTCTTGTTTCTATCATACATAGGGGCACTCATACCACAGGGACGTCCTTGGGGCAGGCACTGAAAGTAAAAACACACAACATTAAAATATTTAAAGATTAGAATTATTATCAAAGAGACAAAATATTTTAGAGGTTTGATATAACTACTATATACTAACAAAACGTACTGTTTTTTACTGGTTACACTAGAAATTCTACAATATTTTGAATTTAAGACTAACCAATAAGATAGTTCATTGTTCAAATTTTATCATTACATCAAAGTGCCATACCACCGGAATATGATTTTAAAGTTTTCTTAACGGTGCGAAGAAGAAGACATCTGTTTTTGTTGGAAAGAAATTAAGAAAACATCCAAATAAGGCTTTGAGAATAACTGATAATAACCTACCATGCCATTCATACCGTTCATATATCGTCGTTCTCGATACAGATCTTGAGCAGATACACTGCAGATAACAACAGCCAAAGCCAAGATAGCAGCAAATAAACGAGCCATTCTGAAATAATAAGAATTACGGACTGTTTATACGTTGGTACGGTCACAAAGTGAAAATGGACAGGCGAAGAAAGAATCCAAAAACAAACAAAATCAATGAGTAAGACATGGAGAAATTCAAAAGCCACCCGGATAATTCAATGGGAATAAATGACAAAGCAAGGCTTCCATGGAACCAGTGGTGTTTTCTGACCAGTACACTGCAGAGTTTCAATAGTACTCATTCGTCCACATAATAAAATGTTGGTCGTGGTATCTGTCCAGTCACCTGGTCATTTCAATTAAAGTCGAGTTTGCTGAAAATGAAGGAATAACCACAATGTAATGTGTAATATTCTTCCTTACCTGTATAACTGATACAAGTGAATGAATACCAATCTATAGAGTGTCCACAATATTTATAGTTTAACTCTATCAATTGATCAAATTAATAAATATTTATCTGAGATATACGTGATGAAATCTCGACATAATCTGATGATGGCTGACAACACTACCGACATGTTGAGATTTATTTGATAATTGAATTTGAATATTAAACTATTGTAATGGTATTAATAACTGGGTCAACATTTTTCTTCTGGTTGATATTGGATTACTCATGAACAAGTAAAACATTTTGGGTGTTAAATGGGTATCGCAAAGTTATACGTTTTATTGTCCTGGTTATTTGACGTTTCNNCTTACTGCCTTCT